CAATTGCTTGGAGTTCGAGAAAAGAACCAGTAGTGGCATTATCATCATGTGAAGCAGAATACATAGCTGCTTCTCTTTGTGCATGTCAAGCAACCTGGATGGTGAACTTGGTCGAAGAGATAACAGGGAAAAATCATGGAGCAATTACCATGAAGATAGACAGCATGTCAGCTATCAATCTGGCAAAGAACCCAATAGCACATGGTCGAAGTAAGCACATCGAAATGAGGTTCCATTATCTTCGAGAGCAGGTAGCAGATGGGAAGATGAATTTGGAACACTGCAGAACTGAGAATCAGATTGCAGACATCATGACGAAGGGAGTGCAGGTCAAAGTATTCAGAAAGCTAAGGGCCATGATGAACATAGACAGTTTAGACACAATGAATTAGGTGGTGTGTTAAATTGTAATTCATATGTGTCAAAAGAAGATTTGATTTGTTTAGATTTAAATAGATTTGAATTTAAATCTAGATTAGATTTGATTTAGTAAAGAGATATTTTAGGCTTGGGTTTTAGCTTAGGGAGCAAGCTAACATAAATCTATAAATAGAGGAGTAACCCTTATTTTGTAATAAACTCATTCACAGTATTTTGCAGTTGCAAAGTGAATTAAATAAAGATTCCACAGTTTGTGGGCAGAGAGAAACTCTGCAGAAATATCTCCATTGCTCTTTTCTTTGTTTGTCTCATAACTAATCATCAAGTGGTGGTCGAAATTCATCATTGAGTATTGGTGGATTTCCAACATCTACCCCGATTAAATTATTTGGTCCTACTCGTTATCAATGGGATCAGGGATACTTCCAGCAAGAAATATATCGAAGAGTTGGTGCTGGGCTAGTCAAAAATCAAAGTTTATCAGAAGCTTGGTCTAAAATTCCTGAAAAATTAGCTTTTTATGATTACATCGGTAATAATCCGGCAAAAAGGGGTTTGTTTAGAGCGGGCTCAATGGACAATGGAGATGGAATAGCGGTTGGTTGGTTAGGGCATCCTATCTTTAGAGACAAAGAGGGGCGTGAACTTTTTGTACGTCGTATGCCTACTTTTTTTGAAACATTTCCGGTTGTTTTGGTAGACGGAGACGGAATTGTTAGAGCGGATGTTCCTTTTCGAAGGGCAGAATCGAAGTATAGTGTCGAACAAGTCGGTGTAATTGTTGAATTCTATGGTGGTGAACTCAATGGAGTTAGTTATAGTGATCCTGCTACTGTGAAAAAATATGCTCGACGTGCTCAATTGGCTATGAAAATGTTAAGGTTTTAGATGGACAAGTGGTGTGTCTCTCACAAAGGTGTGTCCCAAGTAAAATGCTCTCTCCTCAGAATTGCCCCTACAGTGGTATCATGAGCCTTTGGTTTCGAGATAGGGACCGACTTACTTGTATCGAGCGATGGTACAAGTGTATGTGGAAGAGAGTCATTCCACATGAGGGGGAGCATTGTGACTCACACTTGAGGGGGAGTGTTGAGAATCAAGTGTGAAGAAGAAGTCCCACATTGATTATAAAAGGGAAGATTGAGCACTTATATATGAGAGAACCCACTCATCTATCACCTTAAGGTTTTAGATGGACAAGTGGTGTGTCTCTCACAAAGGTGTGTCCCAAGTAAAATGCTCTCTCCTCGGAATTGCCCCTACAGGAGATAAACTCTGATTATCATTAGTGTAATAAAATCAAATATGATAGTTAGAGTATGCATATATCAAGTGCCTTATGACACATCTACATAGACAATTAATTGGAATATAGGAAGTTTTAATCATTGTATGCATATATCAAATGCCTTATGCAAGAAGTCTTAACATGACTGACTACAAGAAAGATACTGGAATATAATATTGGTGACATTTCACTACTTAATCTGTTATACTCACATCAATAATATATTTTGCTGGTTATATTTGTGGAAATGATAGTAAATGCAGTAGTTGTAAATCAATTTTGGTGGGAACATGACATGGGAATGAATTGAAGTATTGAAATTTTGTAAAAATATTAAGATATCAGGTGAAGTCCAGTCTTACGTTTTTATTTTCATTTATTTTCAAGCGTATATCATGGAGTTGGAAGCAAAAGTTGCAAAATTAAAAGAAGAGAATGAAGAACTTCATAAAAAGCGGGTAATTTTGGCTACTTCCGCATGTCACAACTAGATGCAGATATTCATTTGAATTTGTGGCTTAAGGTCTCTTTCATTAAAATGCTCCTGATTGACTCTTATTTTGAATACCGCAGGAAAAAATCATGGAAATCCAGAAAAATCAAGTAAGTTCAGCTTTCAGAAAAATAATGGAAATCACTCATTTTTGATTTTCTGTCATTGCATATATTTGAATTTACCTTAAATATACTTGTCACAAGTTTTTCTAAAACATAGTTGTTTTCTTCTGCCCTGTTTTGTGACTAATTGGTCAAGATGTCATGAATCATGGTTTTAACTTTCTTTTTATGATGTTTAAAATAAAAATAGTAGTTTGCAATTAAGTTTTATTTTTAAGGTCCATATTTTTCTATCACATGACTATCAATAATTTTTTGGTTACCAAAGTTGTAGGGTACTTATGGCTGTCCGTCCTTACCTGGGCGGGAGTACTGCAAATCTAACGGTAGGTCAGACAGGTCTGGGATCATCTTTCGGCTGGAATAACCTTTATTATGGGCATGATCAGCTAAAGATCACTGTCATCTCACAAATTGGATTCGAACCAATATCAAAGACTTTACTTTATTAGATTGAGTCTATCTGTTGTCCTGAATTTTATTCCTCGAGCGTTTTTGAGTTCAATGGTCATGAAATTCCTATTTTTTTATCTTAAGTGGGTTTTTGAATTCAATGGTCATGAAACTCTTTTTTTTTTTTTTGTCTTAGTAGGTTTTTGAAATATGTATGTTGGAGACCGGGGTAAATATCAATTGCATCATGATTGGATCAACAATGATGATGCCTAAAAAAAATACTAATTTGAAATTATAGCTTCTACCAAAAAAATACTATAAAATATGTTTTAATTTGTCAAATATATTAAAAATATAATAATTGACAAGTAGTTTAATATATTTTTTTAAACAATTCCAAAATAAAAATAATATTTATATAAAAAATATATATTATTCATTTAAATATTTTTATATATTGAAAGAATTATAAGCATCATTTTATTATTTTTTTTAAAAAATCATTTTATTTTTATTATATTTTAAAAATAAATACATGTATCATACCGTTACTTGTACGAGCACACAATTATTTCACTAATTCTATGTGCTTTAACGATCTTATTAAAGATAAATTTTTATTTTTTTGGACAGAAAGTTAATTTTTTATTTTATTTCATTGGATAACAGAATAATGATAAAGGAAAATCTATCAATTCATTAGAAAAATATTTTTATTTCATTCCATTTAATGATTTATTAAGTTAAGGAATAATTTATAATCAACGATTTATTAAGTTAAAGAATAATTTATAATTATTTTAATAAAACAAAAATATTTACTTACTTGAATCCACCTAAGCTCCACGACATCACCACTACGTCACAAATAATATCGCCTGAAATGCATAAATGACCGGGCCAACAAAATCTTAAAATATTTTATGTAGAACAAAAAAAAACTGAAATTTTAAAAGGAAATTTTAATCAAAATAAAAATGGATTTAAATGTTTATATTAATAATCATTTATCATTAATAAATTATATTAATTTATATTTAATTATCATACTAATATTTTTTAAAATTAATTATATGATATTAAATAATCGTATAAAATTATACACGGTGAATAACTATTTTTAATCTCATAAATAATTAATTATCTTTGACCCTACAATACTATAAGGATCAGGATGATGATGTAATGCAATCCTAGTTTATTATTAGTGGTGATTCTTCAAGTACATCCATCGTAGTCCCTACTCCACTCACACACAGAGTATAAAAACCCAAACACTTAACCGTTACACGTACAACTAGCTGTTCACGGTTTTGCCTAACAGTATGTTAACTCCCCAATTACCAAATTACCCCTCAACTTTAATTTTGTTGATCACGCTTTTACACAGACAAAAATAAATACAAATAAATATATAAATAATTATATAAATAAATAATTAACCTCTACACAAACAGTGTGACAGTGTGAAGAGCCAATAGATACACACACTCACACACAAATATCTCTATTCATTCATTCACTCACTCACACCCTACTTCGCCTCTGTTTCATTTCTCTCCCTTTGTTTCTTTCAAACCACACACACTCACTCTTCAATTCAATCTTATTGTTTCATCATAGCTAGGTATTCTTTTCTTTCTCAACAGATCATAATAATAATAATACTCTATTTTCTTTCTTATTTCATCTTTTTTAATATCTATTAACTCTATTCATGTTGCTTATTATAGACTTCTTTCAGTGCTTTAGCAGATTTCACTTTCAAGTTTATCACAACTACTTATCCTCCTTTCTGGTTAGTATTTCTTTCACTTTTTATACAATTTCAATTCTGATATAATATTTATGGGTTTCAATGTTTTGTTATTATAGTTTTTTTTTATTTTTATCTGGATCTTTCTGTGAGGCTTGTTTTCTTCATTATGCCCTAAAAATCTGTTTTATTTATTTTTGGATAAGTTTTTGCAGGATGCTTTGTTTGTTTACTCTTTTAAGGTTTTAAGATAAAGTTTAATTCAATAGATATGGTGTTATTTCTGTATAAAATTGATTGGGGATATTAATTTATTTCAATTAGGTTTACAATCATAGCTATGGTGTTATTTATTTCAGATCATGTTTTCATTTAGAGGGTTATAAGTTTGTGTTTGTGCTAGCTTGTTTAATCAATACTGCTGGATTGAGCTTTTGTTTGTGGCAGTTGTCAAAATAGCTTAGTTTGTGTCGTTTCTTATTTTGGATAGTTTATTATGTGTGTTCTCTTGCAGAGATCCTTGTTGCATGATCGCGGCTTTTCTGGAAATTTTAAGATAACATGGGTAGAGGTAGAGGAAAGGGTAAAAAGCTTTATGTTACTAACCAAGACGATATCATAAGTGGTGAAGACGAAAAGGTTCCAATACAGAAGAAAAGAGGGAGGCCACAGAAACCAATAAAGGACGACTTTGACGAAGAACTCGAGAAAATAGAAGATATTAACGGTGAGAATATTAAGAATGGAGTATCTAACAAAGAGGTGAAAAGTCCTACAGCAACAGAACTTGCAAGGAAAAGGAAAAGAAATCCACAGGTAAAAGAGAAATTAGATTCAGTTGAGGAAGAAAATGGCGTTGGAAGCCGATTAAGCACGGAGGAATCTACAAAAACCAATGGATTTAGGCATAACGGAAGCAGACGCAAAAGCACGCCTCGTAGAGCTGCTGAAGCTGGTGTGCAGTGCAAGTAAGAGAGCAATGAAAGTTGCGCAATCAACTTTCTTCCTTTTCATATTACCGGCTAAACGATGATATAGGAAGTGAGGCCTAGAAATCTTTGATTTACCTGTTTTTGCATCTTTATCGTTAGTTTTATTTTCCTTTTTGATTTGGTGGGACTGGTTTGAGGGTTTCCATTTGGTGATTCCCTAACATTAATGTCAATCATGAATTTGAGATTTTAGTTGTAGTTTTCTATTAACAATTTGAATTCAAATCCTTTCTATTTTGACTTTCAACTTATTTTTGAGGTTGATGAGAAAAGGTTTGATTACACTTCAATTTCAATTATGACCATTTATTTTATGCTCCCTCTCTAGTGACTGTGATTTACTGAGAATTACTTTGGTGTTGACCATGTTTTTTTTTATTATTCCCACATAATCAATCACATATCTCAAAATCTGTTTGAACTTTGAAATTTGTATCATCTGCATCAGCGGCGACATAGTTCTCGGATCAAAATCCTAAGCAGTTGTTGGCGCGTTCTCCAGTATCCATTATGTCTTCTGTTTCATATGTTAGGATTAGAGAGCTAACACTCTTTCATTCTCTTGGGAAAAATCAATTTCGCATCCATTAATGTGAGAGGTAATTTGTGAGGAATTAGTCCATGTTCTTTGTATTTGATGTATTTATTTAACTTGATGGGTCATAACCTATAAATGATATAAGTTAGCTGATAAGTTATTTTGAATGATATTTTATAATTTTGAGAATGTATTTATCAATATGCAAAATGAGGAACTAGTGTAACTGAGATGCACACAATTTTAGACTAATTTTAGACTAATCATGTTTGTAAGAAAAAAAAAGAGTGTGCATCAGACAATTTTTGTTTGTCAATTAATCCCCCTTCATCAATACTTTGGATTACTTATTAGATTTGACCCATGTTCCTTTGATCTTTTGTATTAGGTCAAAAGTAAAAGCAAAGGCAGAAGTGTGCAAGCCACCTAAAACAAAGAGAGTAGGCGAAAGGCATTTATTTTAATCCCCTTTCGTAGGTATTGGAACCTACCGTTTGAAATCAGACATAATTAATAAAACAACATAAAACATACATGGACTAGAGCAGCAGAAAATAGAACTTCCATAAATTTTGTAAAAATAGAATTTCTATAGTAATTTTGGTGTAAAATAAAGCTGGGATCCCCTTTTTGATCAGTTACCATCTGAATATATATGTCTTAAGCCACTAACAACACAGTTGGAAGTTTCAGAAATCGTTTAGAAACCAAGAAATCGTGCATGGAACTACTGAAACGGTTGGAAAACTGCCAAAACGTGGGACGGTTTGGATGCCATGACGGGCTGCTCGTCATGGTTTCCACTTCTGAATTTTGCGTTTTCTGGCTCTAATACGGTCTGCCTGTCAGGTGGTCATGATGGGCGTCTTTCTGGATATCGGGCACCCGTCATGACTGATGGATCTTGTTTTTCTCATTTGTTTTCGTCCTCTTTCACCACAGTTGGTTCAAGATGCTTAGGACATGTAACATAATGTAAATGTCCAAGTATCTGCAGTAAAATATAGATAAACTAATGTGAAAACACAGGAATTAAATTAATAAACACGGTAAAAATGTGTATTATCAAACCCCCCTCACACTTATACGATTGCTCGTCCTTAATCAACTTGGGTTGCATAATAATATAAATGCAACAACACAGATGAAAACGACTTATGAAAATACCAGCAGTGATAGTCATCCGTGATTCCAAATTCAGATCGACTAAAGGCTAATTTTTTCGATACTTAAATTAACACCAAAGATATTGTAGGAACACAAGTCGTAAATTACAAACTAAATACTCCTGCCTTAGATACCAATTCAAACCATAACTTTGTAATTAAGTTTCGTTATCCAATTTTTCATCTCCTTTCATTCTGGACTCATGTTAAGGCAATAAACATAGAAAATATCGCACACACGCAAGAGAAACCGAAGAGTTTTAATTATTTATTTATTCATGTTTGCAAACTAACTTTTAATCATTGGTATTCACCAAACTCAATTTTATTTTTTTTAGGTATTAGGGATCAATCACAGCTGAACTGAGTAATCAAGTGACGGTTACCGCTGAACTTATATATATATATATATATATATATATATATATATATATATATATATATATATATATATATATATATATATATATATATATATATATATATATATATATATATATATATATATATATATATATATATATATATATATATATATATATTGAGTAACCGATTTGCATTGCATTTGTCTTCTATTATTCTTTTTTCAATTTTTTTTCGTTTTTTCTTCGGCTAACCAAACTTAGTGTGTGAATCAAAATTATGCCGAAGTGTGTAGATAAACTACTTGGAGACTACTAAAAGGACTTAGAGACCACAGTATAAAACAAATTTAAATTGATATCTAATTTGAAAGGTCTTAGGTGTTCGGACAATATCAATTTAGTTAAAAAAATTTCGATGTCCTTAACCTAATCCTTTCCTCCTTTGAATTCGATATACTTTCTTAGTGCGATAACAATATAAGCTTTTCAACAATTTTTTAAAGTTGGTTCAAAATATAGGGTGTTATCACAAGCAGAAATCACACGCGTAAATGACTCGATAACACATACAATAAACACACAAATTAAAATCAATTAAACTAGAAAGTAAGCATAAAATCCTAATTAGAAAGCGGGGAAATCCTAGACTAGAAAATAATAAATCTAAACTGGAGGGAAATTCTAGACTAGAAGGAAAAAAATCTAAACTAGAAAGAAATTAACCCCCCACACTTAAATCAAAGACTGTCTTCAATAATACAAAATATAAGTAAGAGAAAGGAATGATAAAACCTGAAGTGAGATCAGTCATCGCTATCAGAGTTAGTGGGTGGCATACCACCCTGTCTAATTAGCCACGAAAACATCCCCCTGAGCATCAAATGGTTTAGATTTTCTCTATGATCTCGCTCAGTCTCCATGTAATTATGTGCTTGTTTCTTTTTCTGCAAGTCTGGTACCTCAAGTCGTAGAGCACTAAGCTCATACTCGATGTTACTCTGGTATTTGTATGGAAAATCATATTGAATATGGGGAGAAGGTTGAGGTTGGTTTGTTGTGGAGGCAGAGATGGGGATAAATATGGCAAATTTTTGTTTTTAATTTTTAATTTTTCTTGTTTTCGGTTGTATGCGAAGAGCCTAAAGTTTAGGGAACCTTGTTGAAATGATTAACAAAATAGAACATCATCTCAAAGATGTGAGAGCAACTTCACTTCAAAGTGTTTTGTATGATGTCAAAACCAATAACAAAAGGCACGTCGATAAAGCAAAAGGGTATCTTTATGTCTTGTGGCACTCCTCTGCATTATAGGTCTTAGGAATAATTAAAAAGCATATTGAAATTGATCTAAACCTTTGAAAAACAGTTTCTGCATGATTTTCACTTGCATGTGTCAACACACCCGAGCTTCAGGTCGACACATGTAGCTTTGTTTTAAAGCCCGTAGCTTCTGTAAGTCACAGGTCGACTCATGCATCCATACAGGTCGACACATACTGATTGAATTTTGAAAAAGTAGAATTTTCTATTTTATGTGTCGACAGACCCGACTTTCAGGTCGACACGTCTACTAGCATGGATAAGCTTGTTAGCCTTTGTAACTCTCAGGTCGACTCATAACATTATTTCAGGTCGACACATACGACCTAAACATAATGTATCTGTTGACACATACGAATTTGAGGTCGACACATTTTGTTTCATTTGGTCAATTTTTTAATTTCTTTTTATTTCGAATCTTCCCTTCTTGCCATATTTTTCCCACAACTATACATACTCATTCATACATAATTCACATCTGGATGATACCATAAAATTAGCCTACTTTCTCTCTTCATCTTCAACCTTCCAATCTTTGCATACACACCAATATTACATTGTAACGATGTTCCGTCGGGGTGCCATATAGACGAAGAATTGTGGATTTCCAATTGGTTTGGACTGAGATTTTGTAGGGGTCTTCATCTAGAAAAACCATCAGGTTTGTCCTCCAAGATCATTGGTTGATTTGGAGATTTTCGTGCAAGATCATTCGAAAGTTCATTCTTGTGAAAGATCTCTTGGGGTGGTTGAAACCCTTTCAAGGATCCTTGGAGTGTTTGAAATCCTTTCAAGGAAGTAGCAAGAATTGGGTGATAGAATCAGTAATCTTTTATTGATAGTTTGCAATCAGATTTACTCGAGTGAAAGATCCCTTGGGGTGGTTGAAATCCTTTCAAGGATCCTTGGGGTATTTGAAATCATTTCAAGGAAGTAGCTTAAGCGGCGAATAGGTTGCATCTATTAGATTGATTTGATCTTGCTTAAGATCAAAGGTTAGAAGAAGGAGCATCAACATCAAATTAGAATTTCATACTGTTGTTTCTAAATCTTCCTATTGTATTAAACATTTTGCATATAAAAACTATTCTAAGTTCCATTGGAATTTAGGCGCAGACGTACCCATGCGCGAGGACGATGTAGCGGTGAAAATCAGAGATCAAACTATTGATTAACTTGAGTCGCAAATAAGTAAGAGTCGCCGTCGCGCTTTATTATTTCCGAGGGAAAAGGGAAAAGTGAGAAATAAAACCCATGAATACACAAAGTATGTATAATACTAAAATTTTAAAAAAAAATACAATGCCTTTTAAAAAGATCGAAGATTCGGGGGTTGGTTATACAAAGGAAGGTACTAGCACCCTATGTATCTATAGTATCCTATAGAAACCTTTTGAAATATTTGTTTTTGGTTAAAATTGGTTTTCTTTCTAAATGAGTGTGGGGATGAGATCTTGAAGATGCGACGACCTAGTGTCGAAGTTTTAGCTTAAATGGGTGTAAGTTTAAAAATTGAGTTTTTCAGGAGATTTCTTAAGATTAAAAAAACTAAAAAATGTATGAAGGGGTTTCGTACAATCATATTAGATATATTAAATGACATGAATTTAACAAATTTAATCATTTCCCTTGGAATAGACGAACGAAAGATATAAAAACTAAATGATCGATAAAGGAAATTAAAATAGAGTATTAATTAAAAAACTAAATAATTAACAATAAAAAATTAATTAAATAAAAGATTAAATTATACTAATTTTTTTTTTATGAGGGATAAGAAATATATCATTAAAGATCTAAACTAATATCTTTTTGTATTCTCTTTTTTTTTAATGAAAATTGGTGAAATATGGCTAAAACGAGTTTAAAAAAATAAAATAAAGTGTAAGAGTGGGGAATCGAACTCAGAAACTTTTGGTAACAAAATGAAAGCCTTGCCATTAATCCACATTCTCTTTTATGTCATATCTTTATCTTGATTAAAGTAAAAGGGAAAGTTTAAAACCAAAATTGGGCTAAAAGTTATGGGAAAAGGAAAAGAAAGCTTTGTAGAAAGCCTGTTTGAGAGGGAGGCGTCATGGATTTTTATTGGGATGTGAACAATCACAATTAATTAACTCACTTAATCCCAGTACAATACAGTTAAAAAAAAAACAAAACGAAAAAAGTTATCTTTCTCAATCGATCTTGACGTTGTTTCTCTCTTTCCTCATGCTTCTTCTTATTTCTCTCAACTGATTCTCTTTATCCCTACATCTCAATTGATTCTCTCTCCCTCTAATTTCTTAGTTCCTGAATCGAGCCAATAGCCACAAATTTTTGGTTTGTTCCTCTTTCTCATGGTTTAAGTTCCAGTGACAAACAAAAATACACACAATTGCAATCCTAGGTATGCTAACGATTTCGCTCACTTGGTTCATAGTTCGATTACATGAGCAACAATAATCAAAATTGCATCTACCGATTCTCATGACTCGGGTAAAGTGGGGACGGTTTCGATTCCTCACGGTTTCAGGCTTCTGAAGAAGAAGCAACAAACTCAAAACTTACGCTTAGCGATTTCCATCTGTTTCATGATTTTTGTTTTCTCAAAATTTTCATGGTTTATTTTCT